CATGTGTACCTGGGATTTTACAGAGTGGCTGGAGCCTCCCGAAATCTGGGAAGACAGTTGCAGAATTCTAATGACTGTTATATATATATATTTTTTTGAGTTGGAGTCTCACTGGGTCGCCCAGACTGGAGTGCAGTGGCCGCTCCCGGCCACCGCAGCCTCGACCTGCTGGGCTCCGGCGATCCTTCCACCTCAGCCTTCCAAGTAGCCAGAATTACAGGCATGTGCTACCACGCCCAGCTGATTTTTTTTTTATTTATTGCAGAGATGAGGTCTCACTGCCCAGGCGGGTCTCGAACCCGCGGGCTCAGGCAATCCACTCACCTCAGCCTCCCAAAGGCGCGGGATTACAGGCTGAGCCACCGAGCCCAGCTCTGTTGTATATTTTATTATTCATTTATGCAATGTGTTGAGTGCTGTGCTGGGTGCTGGGGAGATGGGAACAAACAGCCATGTGCTCGGCCCTCAAGAAGCTTTCAGGTTCACTCTCAAATGTGCAACGCTAGGTGGTACAGGGAGGGAAGTGTGAGTAGAGAGGCATGTGCATGGCGCAACGACAGAGCAGGGCGAGGCGTCTTCAGCCAGATGGGAAGGCATCGAGAGATCTGCCTGGAGGAGGAAGCAAGCTGAGTTTGAAAGAATGTATTGGATGGTGGCCCCTGGACCTCCAATGAGTCAGGATTCGAGTCTGTGGGTTCTTGTGTCAGGAGATGGAGGGTACTAGGTCACCCCTCAACCCCTCCTGAGGCCAGGGTGTGGAAAAGGGAGGGAACTAATCTATACTGAGCACCTACTGTGTGCCAGGAGCATCCATATACTACCTTATGAGTCTTCAGTATCTACGGAGAGGCAATATCAGACCCATTTACAGATGAGAAAACTGAGGCTCAGAGAAGGGTAGCCACTTGCCAGGGCCATGCAACAGGTCAAGGGCAAAGCTGAAGCCGGCACTCGGCAGCTCCTGACTCCAAAGCCCATTGTCTTTCCTGATTTGTGGTTTGAGGTCCTTTGCCAAATGATAAACTGGAGGCTTACAGAGAAGAGGCCACTGATGACTGTGGCCTGCTGAGTGCATGGAAAGACTGGTGTCGAGGTCGCTCCCTCAGCCATGCAGATGGTAACAGCCTGCAGCCCTCTCCTTCCCCTTTTCTCCCTCACCCTCTGCTAGGGCATTGTAGGCAGACTCGCCAGACCGCCAGAGGCTGCAGAGGGACCCACCTGCGTTTAGGAGTCAGACAACCTCGGCCCATCTCAGTTTCTTTACCTGGGAAATGGGGTATGTGCACGTTCTCCACAAAGTCAAGTTAGAATTCTGCAGATGGTCTGCAACATGTCTGACACATAGTGGACACTCAATACATGAAGGCACCATCCTCCAGCCTCCTCTCACAGCTGAGAGTCCTGAGGAATATCTTCCCAGGACAGGCCCAGCCCGGCGTGAATCCATAGCTTCTAGCTCTCAGCTCCCACCCAGGCCAAACGGCCCTGTCTGACTCTGCAGTCCCCAGAGAGCAGCCACTGGGCCCCAGCATGAGCTCCGTGTCATACTTCATGGGAGAGCGTCGATGACATCACCACTGGGTTCCACTCCCTCCTCCCCACTCCTCACTCATAAGTGATCTCTGGCTGGGGTCTGAGTTAAAATGTCAAGGGCTGCAAGGACGTGATGGAGACCCAGGGGACAAAAACCACTTACAGAGTGCTTAGGTCATTAAAAATATGCTTTCATTTAATCCTCACTGCATCTGTGCCAGATAGGGCTGGGTGTGATTTCTCAGGTGAGAAAACAGGTTCAGACAGGTCAAATCAACAAGCCCGTTGTCACAACATTCAAGTGCGGAGGAGCCAGGAGCTTGGCTTCATGCTTAGCTGTGTGACACAGCAAATGACTTCCCCTCTCTGTGCCTCAGTTTTCTCATCTGAGAGATGAGAATAATGTTTTCTAGGGCAATGTCGAAGACTGACAAGATTATGACTGTGAAGCATTCCTCCCAATGGCGTCTGTTCTGCTGAACTGCTCAGACATGTTTGCTGATAACTAAGCAGACAACAGTCCTGATTGAGAAGTGGGTAGAGGCACCCCAAAGAGGAGCAGATTCACCTTCTCCCATCCCATCTCCCCAGGCAAAGATGGAAAACAAGCATAAACAGCAAACAGGAGAGACAGGTCTCCTCTTCCCCAGCACGGCCAATGATTCAGGGCCGACGTCCTGAGATAATTTTATTGGGGGCATTAAACTGAGTTATGAGGTTTTTACAATCCAGCCACTTATGAGAAATCTATTAACAGTAACTGGACAGGAAGAAGCCTTCTCAGTGGAGCCCAGGACGGGCATTAATTGGGGCAATCTATAACAGGACGGGGACCCGGAAAGGTTCCACCAGCCGCCTCCATTTACTCCCCGCAATTTCTGCTGAGAATCAGCAGACTCGCCAAAAAGAGAGAGATGCCCATTAATCGGCTAATGAAATATGAAAATGTTTATGGGCCATTCAATCTTCCAAATGGCACTTCTATAATCCACCTTTCAGACACAAAGTTCCACCGGCAGGATTTATACCCCAGCTCCTCCTGCGTGGCAGGGGATGGGCTTTCGTCCCTCTTTATGAGTACTTCATGGGCACCTGCTCCCCCAAGGGAGTGGACTGGGGTCCACAGCACCTGGGCCGGCAAGGAACTCTAGGGACTGTCTGGTCCACGTCCCGCCTCCATGGAAGCTTAAGAGGAACGAGGACTCGGCAAAGTTAACAGCTTCTTCAGGAAGGATTTTCCCCTGCTCAGGGCTGCCCTGGAGATTTGTGCATTGGAGGATAAGGACTTAGGTGTTTCTGTTTGCAAGAAAACAGACGTCTTGCTGATTCCTCATCCGAGAGGTCTCGAGGCGGTGAAGACAGCCTGGAATCTGGAACCTAACAGTGCCTGGATTAAATCCCAGTTATATATGACTAATATTTAGTAACAATATAATACCACCGATAGCTACCATTTATTGGATACTTATTATGTCTCAGGAAGGGCTGATTTTTAGCTAGTACAAACTGGTGGTTGTACTGGGTGTTAAAATCGTGAAACCCTCCATACCTGCGGCAAATGGCTCCTCTCCTCCCCGCCATCTCTCATCCCCTCAGACCTCTCCATGATCCAGCAGCCAAAGGGCTTCTGCCCATCCCAGCAGGGGTCCTACTGCTGTACTCTCTGTGGGCAGTGCCCCTGCCATGCTGGCTGTCACATATTGTAAATGTCACACGGTGCCAGGCAGCTGTTGAGGGTCTTATGTGGAATCTCATCTCAGGAAACCCTCAACACCTCTAGCAGGGAGGTGCTATTATGAGCCCCACGTCACAGATGAAGCCACTGAGGCCTAGAGAGGTGCAGTGACTTGGGTGAGGACACACAGAAAGGTGACGCCAGAGCCAAGACTGGGCCAGGCCACACCACCTCTCCCCTCCTGTGGGCCCCTCTCTGGAGGCTTTAGGATGGAGTGGGAAGGGCCCGCATGGAATAGGGCAGCTCCCCTGGCAGCCTGCCCTTAAGGAAGCATTTGACGTCTCTGATCTTCAGTAGGAAAAGGGAAAAATAATCTGTAAAATGAGGATAGCAAAACCTACGTGTGTGTGTGTGTGTGTGTGTGTGTGTGTGTGTGTGTGTGTGTGTGTGTGTTTAAGAGTCTTGAACCAGATAAGTATATAAATTGTTAGCACAGTGCCTGGCACTGTGCTCCTTCAAGCTGCCTTCTCTCTTCTCCTTTCTTCTTTCCCTCCCCAACATGTGGCAAGTTTTGTTCTTTCTTTAAGTTGGAGGTCTCACTCTGTTGCCCAGGCTAGAGCCTCAGAGTTTGTATTTCTAACCAACTTCCTGGCAGCTGGTCATGCCCTCACTCTAAACTGCAGGGCTACCGCTCCCCAGACTCTGAGCGCCAACAGGCTGGGTGGCATCTTGCTTGGCACATGGGCTGAGCACAGTGGTTCACGCCTGTAACCCCAGTACTTTAGGAGGCTGAGGCAGGAGGATTGCCTGAGCCCAGGAGCTGGAGTGGCACAATCACAGCTCACTGCAGCCTCAACCTCCTGGCTCAGGTGATCCTTCCGCCTCAGCCTCCCCAGTAGCTGGGACTACAGCGACTACACCCAACTAATTTTTTTATTTTTTGTAGAGATGAGATCTTGCTATGTTGCCAGGGTTGGTCTTGAACTCCAACTCCTGGGCTCAGGCAATCCTCCTGCCTCGGATTACAGGCATGAGCCACTGTGCTCAGCCCATGTGCCAAGTAAGATGCCACCCAGCCTCTTGGGGCTCAGAGTGTGGGGAGAGGTGGCCCTGCAGTTTAGAGTGAGGGCATGACCTGCTGCCAGAAACTCTGAGGCCCTGCCCAGACCTACTGAGTCAGAATCACAAGATCCCTGGGTGATGTGCGTTGCACATTCAGATTTGAGAAGCCTTGGCTGTGACCATCCCTCAAGGCTGAGCAGAATAATGATGGCTTGATGTCCTGAGAGATCTTGGAGGGGTATGTGAAGGGATGGGAAAAGCTTTCTGGAAGAGGTGGCAGCTGAGCTGTGCCTTGAAGGGTGAGTAGACTTTCTGGGGGTAGAGAAATAAGGACAGGGTTTGAGGCAGGAGCCTGAGGGTTCTGCGGGCTAAGGAAGGGCAAATAGGTGTCGAGGCTGTGCTGGACATCTTTGTAAAGGCAGTGGGGCCACAAAGGGTTGCAGGCAGGGGAGGTGTGTTCACATCTGCCTCTGAGGCTGGTAGCTCTGGGTGCAGAGGGGAAGGAAGATTCCAGGCACAGGGCCGGGCAGGCAGAGTCACCCAGGGCTGGAGAAACATTTCCGGAGGCCCCACTTGGGGTGAGCTTGGCTGCCAGGCCTCAGCGTCCCCCAAGACAACGGGGTGTTGGGAAAAGATGTGCGTAGTCACAGACCCCCCATGGGACAGGAGAAGGAGGCCAAGGAGAGCTTCATCTCCAGCCTCCACCCTGCCTTCCTCCCTGCCTTCCCAGATCCACTCGGACTCAGATGAGGGTGATGGGGCCATCAAGTACACCATCTCTGGTGAGGGCGCTGGGACCATCTTCCTGATCGATGAGCTGACAGGTGACATCCATGCCATGGAGCGCCTGGACCGTGAGCAGAAAACCTTCTACACCCTGCGGGCCCAGGCGCGGGATCGCGCCACCGACCGCCTGCTGGAGCCTGAGTCGGAGTTCATCATCAAGGTGCAGGACATCAATGACAGCGAGCCCCGCTTCCTGCATGGCCCCTACATCGGCAGCGTGGCTGAGCTCTCGCCCACAGGTGAGCTGTGGACTCTGGGGCCGGGGTGGGACCAGGCAAATGTGCCCCTAAGGAGGAGCCGCTGGAGGGGGAGGAGCTGATCCTCTGGGGAGGGGCAGGAGAGACCGGAACTGCTGCCCCAGGACACAGTACAGACATGAACCCAGGTGACTCCTGAGGTCAGCATGGTTCCAGAAAAAGCCACACACATGACCTCAGTCGTATCATGGGACACAACCCCACATGGGCATGGACCTGCATGCAGACACAGAGATATACTCGGACACGGTCATACAGCCACACACTATCACACCTGCAGACACAGCCGCAGATACATGAGCTCAGCCCCACATAGAAGCTGATCTCCACCTATACACACCCCGTCATAGACACAGGTCCCCCCGGCAACCTCCGGACATAGTCACACACACGGGCACTGCTGGACACTCTCCAGAGCCCTTCACAAAAGTTTAGCCACACACAGACACATCACAGCCCTGGGCTGCAACTCCCACCTCCAGACACAGTCCCAGCCTCAAGCACAACTGCAACCAGGGACGACCACATTGGGCACAGCTGAAACAGGGCCCAACCACGCACTCAGACACACCCACGCTCCCTGACATGGCTGTGTGAACACCACAAAGGAAGCAGCCCCTCATACAGAGGGAGCTTCTGCACAGACTTGGCCACACACATAGACACAGGCAAAAGCCACAGGCAGACATGACTGTCCTGGGGCCCAGTGCCACCGGAGTGCAGTCACTGACAGGCACAACCGCATGAACGATGTCCAGACAGCTTCGTTCACTGCCCGAATGGAAGCCACACTCCCAGGACCCTGCCGGCTGGGACACAGGCTCACAGACGCAGCTGAGCCTCCAGATCCAGGCTCAGTTACACATACCCAAGGTGCTGCACACACATAGTTGTGCAAGTAGAAAGAGAAACACACACAGAAACATTCACCTCTATAAAGACGCCAGACACAACCCTTCTCAGATGCTCCCATTCACAGGACAGCAGGATGCAGAGACTAAGCTTGCATGCCTCTGCCTTCTCCCACTGTGGGACTACCCACACAGTTGCCTGACCATCGATGCCCTGCTTAGCTCAGGGCTCCTGAGGCTCTGGTAGGAACTGGAACCATGGGATGAGGGCACAAGCCAGTAACCACCACCTCCTTGCCACTGTGCTCCCCAAAGTCAGCTGCAAGCCAGGCTAAACAGGGTGCAGCTGCCCTGGGCCCGAGGCCACACCCCATCATGACTCAGTGTGACCAAGGGCTGGCCCTCCCAGCCCCCAGCATGTTGGAGGCCAGGGGTGCTTGGGCTTGTAGGGAGGGTGCAATCAGCCCCACATCCCAGGTCAGGCTGAATCTGGCAGATTGGTGGGTAATGACCTGGTGACCACCAGGGGAAGAGGAGGAAGGAAGCCAGAAAGAATGGTGGGCATGAATGGTGGAGAGTGAGGAACAGCAGGGCGTGCATGTGGGTGCAGGCTGGTATACACACCAGGTACACATGTGTGCCTGATGCACACATGCATTCCACACGTGTGCAGGTGTGCACACACATGGCTGGCCAAGGGGCATTTTATGACTTTTGCTGCATGTGACATGCTGTGTATCTATTTGAGTATATTCATGCATTCGTTTAACAAATGTTGAGTACCTACTGTGTGCTCAGCACTGGAGACACACAGTGAAAAGGCAAGCAAGACTCCCTACTGTCCTGTCATGATGGCTCATACCTGTAATCCCAGCACTTTGAGAGGCTGAAGTGGGAAGATTGCTTGAGGCCAGGAGTTTCAGACCAGTTTGGGCAACATAATGAGATCCCTGTGCCAAAAAAAATAAAATAAAATTAGGCAGACATGGTAGCACGTGTCTGTAGTACTAGCTGCTTGGGAGGCTGGGAAAGGATGATCCCTTGAGCCCTGGAGTTGGAAGCTGCGGTGAGATATGATTATGGCACTGCATGCCAGCCTGGGCAACAGAGTGAGACCTTGTCTCAAAAAAAAAAGTCTTCCTTGGAGGGTACATTCTGGCTTAGGAAGACAGACAATAAATACATTTTAAAAAAATAGATTAATTGGTCCAGTAAAGCCTCTCTGAGGAAGTGACATTGAAGCAAAAACTTGGAGGAGCTGGGAGTATGGGCTCTGGAAGAAGAGCATCCAGAAAGGGGAAACAGCACATGCAAAGGCCCTGGGGCTGAATTACCCCCGAGGAGAAGACAGCAAGGCAACCAGATCACACAGCCATATAGACCATAGCCAGGGCTTGCCTTTTATGCTGAGCAAGCTGAGAAGTCACTGAAGAGTCTTGTTCAGAAGAATGACATGACCTGTCTTAATTTTAACAAGATCTCATGACCATTTCATGAGGATAGATGGACGGTGGGGAGGGCATGGGCAGAAAAGGGTTACCTGTCAAGGAGGATATTGCAGTGACCTGGGCAGGAAATGACGGTGACTTAGAACACAGCAGTACCATGGAGGTGCTGGACAGAGGTGGGCATCTGGATATATTTTGAAAGTAGAATTGGAAACATTTGCTAATGGATTGGATGTGGGGTGTAAGAGAAAGACTCAAGGGTGACTGTTGGGATTTTAACCTGAGCAATTAAGTAGATGGAATTTCCATTTACAGAGATGAGAGGAGCAGATTAAAGGGGTGAAGGAAAATCAGGGGTTTGGTCTGAGACATGTTCAGTTAGAAAACGTATCAGGCAGCCATGGGGAAATGGTGAACAGGCAGCTGAACGTGCAGTTCAGAGGAGATCTTGGAGCTGGAGAGAGACGTGTGTACACTGTCAGTGGCACTGACCCATGGGACTTCAGAGCCCAGCAAGAACTTGGAGATCAATTTGTCAAATGGAGAAACTGGGGCTCAGAGAGGCAGTGACATGTCCAAGGTCGCACAGCAAGTCAGAGGAAACACAAGCCCCTGGTTTCCCGGGTCCAGCAGCCCCCACCTGACCTAAACTCACAGTCCTGTCTCTCCTCACTCAAAACGGACCTGCATGTTTCTGCACGGAAAAGGCCAGAAAGGTGGAGAGAGCTGATGCAGGAGGAGGAAGCAGGAGCCGCTCCTGAAGGACCTAGGGAAGCAGGTAGCCCAGAGAAGGCCTAAGCTGCCAGGTGACACGAGCAGACTCGCATTTTAGAAATCTCCTGCCGCTGCTCCAAGGAGAATGGCCAAGGACGGGGCTGCCCGGGATGGGGGACGCTGAGGATGTGAGGTGCCAGGGATGAGAGGCTTCCACAAGAGGAGCAGCACCCTCTCCACCATGGTGGCTCCTCCATCATCACCTCACTCTCGCTGCAGCTCTGAGAGGTGGCAGGACTGACATTCGTGCCCCCATTGAACAGATGGGAACACTGAGGCTCAGAGAGGAGATGTCCCTACGGTCACATAGCAAGTCCATGAGGCAGCAAGTTGCTGGGCTTGGTTCCCAGACTGACGAAGCGGCAAAGCTCCTCGTTTCACAGGTGGGGAAATGAGACCAAGAGAAGGGCAAGGGCTCACCCACGGTCACACAGAGAGCCGGCGGCAGAGCCAGCCCCCAGTGCAGGAATGCCAGCCTGGGGAGACCCAGCCCCGCCTCCTCTCCCTCTCCCAGCCCTCTAGGGAGAAGTCGGGAGGCCCGGGGGGAACTCCATCTGGACAAGCCGAAGACGCAAGAGGGGGAGGGGAGCAGCAGAAATTAAATTAGTTTATTTCATTTGAGCAACTTTTTGAAGGGGAAGTGAATCTGACACCCGGGCGCTTGTGGAGACTCCAGGCAGCTTTGAAAATCAGTCACAATTACGGAGCCTCCTGATCCAGGCTGCGAAGGGCGGGGCGGACAAGCGGCACCAGGGTCTGGGCAGCTTCGGAGATCAGAGGGAGCAGGGACGCAGCTTGGGACATGAAAGGCAGCGGCGCTCGCAAATTAAAACAGCTTAAAAGGGAAGGGAAGTGTGCCGGGGGCCTCTGATGAGCCACGCTTCTGAGCAGGGGCACACCGGCCATGCTGAGACTGGTGCGGCCAAGCAGGTACCAAGTTGACAGTCAGGAGGCCTGGCTCCCTGCATGACCTTGGGCAAGCACCACCCGCCCCACAGCCTCCCCCTCACCCCCGTTTCCTTCTGAACATCTGAGGGGGTTCACTCAAGCAACAGATTTTACTGAGTGCTGACTATGTGCCAGGTACTGTTCCAGGTACTGGAGATTCTTAGGAGACAACATAAGATAGGGAGAGAGACAGGAAAGCAATAAATTAATATATAATATTCACATATATAAAACAACATAAAATAAGCAAATACATAACATGCCCAGTGGTGTGAGTGCTATGCAGAATAGGGAATTAGGAGTGATTTAGGGGGAGTTATATTTTGATTGAGGGGTCAGGGAAGGTCTATGTGAGGACATTTGAACAAAGATCTGAAGGAAGGGAACCAAGGAACTGTGGTAAGCTTTCTTGTGCATCCAAATTGCCTAGAGGGCTTTTTAAAGCACAGATTTCTACACTCCACCCCCAGCCCCCAGGATTTCTGGCTCAGTAGGTCTGCAAACATTTCTAACAAATTCCCTAGGTGATGCTGATACTGCTGGTTTGGAAACCACACCTAGAGAATGACTAAGCTAGAGTAAGAATGTTCCAGGCAGAAGGAACAGCAGGTACAAAGGTCCTGAGGCATAGTGCCTGAGAAATAGCAAGGAGGTCAGTGTGGCTGATGAGGAGTGAGTGAAGGGGAGTGTCTGGATACCTCAGAAGCTGGATCACACAGGACTTGCTTGGTAGCCATTGGAAGGTTTTCTATTATACTCTGAGGTGGGGAGCAGAGGAGTGACACCTTCCAACTTACGTTTTTAAAAGAATGACTCATTGGCCACCATGTTGAAAATAGACTGTAGGGGCAAGTCTGGAAGTAGGGAGACCGGTGAGGAAACAACTGCCATGGTGCAGGCAAGAGAGGATGGTGACTTGGACCAGTGGGGATGGACAAAGAGATGGGATTCTGGGTGCATG